GAGTTGTCGGAATGTCGTATAGGCGGGATTTTGTAGGGGTGGGATGTCGGTGACGAGAACCCTGGGCGTTGAAATAGGCGATGCAGATCGGGCTGCGCGTAGCCGGTCCGCATTCTCCAGTCTCACCCAATTCATGTGTTTGGGGAAATCGTGTGGGATTTTGGAGATAACGAAGATTTGTATTCCCTGTATCTATCACTGCCTAGTCCCGGAATTTCCGAGACAAGTTGTAGCGGACTGGTGTAAACAAACTCTGGGTCCAAAAATACGTCCAGGGGCTAAGGAAGGGTTAAATCACGGGTAGTGATTGAGTGAGGACCCACAAGATACGTTGCTTGGATGTCTACATGCATTGCCGGTGATCTAGGGGTATGTACATTATAGGAGCGTTGGTCATTGTGGGTGATTAGGCTGGGGTAGGGGTCTCCGTTCGACTTATCGTCCGTATCTCTACTGCTCAAGTTGAAGGTCTTGTGCTCAAGCCGTGCTCTCGAAAACCTTTACGAGTCACCTGCTCTCATCTGGCCATGCCTTACGGGCTTTCCAGTCGTTCCTAGGGGTAAGATTCACTTGTAAAGCATAATCAATATCACCCCAAATGTGCCCGGGATCACGCACGGCATAGCACTCAGATCTCGAGCGCCTCATCAATCGGCGATTCAAGCATTTGCTGTTTGGCACCGCGGTAACCATATTCCACTGGTTTCCAGGTCTACGACCAGAAGGTCATCGTCGTTGCTAGAATCCTTCCTTTTATAATATTGGATATTGGTTTGAAGCATGGCCCAGGGTGTATCATTTTAATGCCTTTGTTGTAATGTTAATTCCATGAACACAAAACATGCCCGTCGGTCGCCCGTTCGATTTTATGAAGTCTGTAGAATTGTAGCTTACTCGACATTATTTATTTTGAATCCGGTCTGCAGTTTGACCGCCCGTAAAATGTCACAACAGTCCGATGGTATACAAGGTATGCAACAGATTGATTACGCGAGAATTGTCACGCAAATGAATTAACCTAATTAGAAAACGTGTGGAGGCTGTCAGCGTTGCCATCGAGTTGAAGATTCGGATCAGATACGTAGCTAGGGGACAAAAGGCGCTTCAGCAGAAAATTCCTACGAAACCGGGAGCACTTACCGCATAATACCAGGATTGTGATCATCCCGTATCACAAAGTTCACGCCGTTCTGTACCACCTTTTGATAACCTTCGATACACCTGCGCGTATACCGCATTGGCACCCCAGAGAGGTGCACATGTAGCCCAAAAGGCCACTCATGCTCTGGATAGTGCAGCAGCTTAAGGATCGTCCAACCCAAAGGCACGAGCGCTGCTTCGGGCTCCACGCCAGTGGGCTTAATGCCCAAACAACTTGCAATGTCCATCTGGCCGCGGTATTTGCCGTGGATGTCGAGTTTTTGGAGACGAGAGAATGGGTCGGATAAATAAGAACGATAGATCATGAAATCTTCTATTACGTTGGTTTTGCAATTCGTAAATACAACTCTTTGGATGTTGGGTACACTTCGAAAGATCGTCGAATAGGAGAGTCTGGGCTCGGATGTGAATGATACCAGTTCCAGGGTATGTACTGATGGGGGAAGTCGGGCGAAAAATGCGTTTAGGGTGGGGGTAATGCTTGAAAATCGGAAGGGGCCACCAAGGGCGAGGTGTCTGAGGGAAGGGGTATGAAGATCTTGGAGGACGGACACACACGCCCAATCGGCTAGAAAAGGCCATTCAAAGACTTGTAGGTCGTTTAGGATGATATCGATTCCTAATAGATTGAGACCTGCTCCTCTTGGCTCATCCGGGACCGCCCGACAACGGTATTCAATAAGGTTGACGCAGGCAAGGAGGAGTTCGATGCAGATTGGTATAGAGATGGACCACAAGTCAAGCGCTGTCACATTCGACCAGACTAGCTGAATGTAATGACTGCTCTCGACATTCTTCAGGGTCAGGCGCTGCAGGGATATGGTACGCGATAGGTCCAGCGGCTGGGGATAGCTGGTGCCCGAAAATTCCACGAAAGGCTCCAAAGGGCACCCTAAACGTAGGCTCTTGAGGTTGCAGAATTTTTTGAGGGGGAAGTCCTCTATGAGCCAAGTATCTGGAAAGCTCAGCCGCAACGTCTCGAATCTCTCAGCATTTTTATTAAGCAAGCCAACAAATTCGAAAAAGTCCTCCCCAAACGAGGGATGCTGCGGCGTGGGTTTTGAGGTGCCATCGAGAGCGCTGTGATAAAATCTCGGGAGAAGGTTGAGCTCGAGAGATAGTGGAAGACATCCTGAATTTTTCAGGTAGAGTTGTAACATGGCAATCCAATTTTGGACGGGAGTTTGATTGTAGATAGTGATGATCATTGTTGTCCAGAACCGTGGCAGTGAGTGAACGACGCCACGCCAGTACGACGACACTGCACAAAGGGATCGGACATGCCAGTATAAGTTGCGGCAGCTCTCCGAACGTTCGCTCCAGTAGTGACGGGGGTTACGCTCGTCCAGGATGATTGGCGTGAGTGCGAGCTCAAATATCCTGAGCAGGATCTCAGGGGGAAGCTGAGATTGAACATGGTATAACTCCTCTTCTCGAGTGACGTTGAGATCTTGCATATCGTATTGAATACTGGTAACTTGCTCTTCCGGTTTTCGAGTATTTAGGGGTATCGTTGCAGCAGGTGAGAGGCTGGAGTTAGATTGAATTTCACGGGGTGACTCCATCATTGAGAAGGACACGAGGAACCGCGGAGAGTGAATGAGAGAGCTGCGAGAGAGCTGCGATGTTACGCAGCAATTTAAGACTCCGCATTATATGTGCTCGAGTTGGAGTTACTCACAGTAGACCCTGATCACCGTGACAGAACATGAGGGCTGGGCGATGACTCGAAGATCCAGCATGAGTAGTAAATGCTTCCAGGGGCCAATTTTTGGTTGATTACCAAGATAATATATTCATATTACAATTTACGTTGTTATTTTGTTATTTTCTCTGAAATTCTGAAACGCTTGCTCCTCCTCGTTCACGGGTAAAAGGAAGGATCGCTCTTGCAGTGGATCGGCCGAGCACAGCATCACACAGGAACAAATCAAAAGGACCTTATCGCGTTGAGGCGCGCTCCTACCGAATTGAAAATGAGAGATGAAAATCTAGAAGGTCCAGAGTAGAGTCGGGCAAGCTACACGCAATATGTGGGAAATAGTGACATGCATGTTCGTATATTCAAAGTCAGTGAATGAAGTCTAGAGTGTTCGAGTGCCCATACAAAACCTCAATACTGATGATTATCCTCCGGTGCTACCGAACCCCTAGGTTCTAGATGTCCTCCATGTCCGGTTAGTTAATACATGATGTCCAAATACTAAGATCATCGGCTTCAACGCTGATATTCTTTACGCAAGCCGACCCTCTCGCAAGCATTTTCGCGAACTTCTGGAAATGATCCCTCGTGAAAACTCGGGGGAGACACGGCCGTGTGATGAACACCCGATTCAAAGCAGGGAACATGCACAACCACCGGACCAATAAATCTATTACTCCGTCCGACGAATACGCAATTAGCTTCGAATCCAGCTTTAGCGCTTTCACACAACGCAAAAACCGCGTCGGGTCTGTATCCCCGAACCGATTAGCGGCTTGTCCGTGATGGTGCGCGCGGACTAGGCTATCGCGCAGCCAGGTGTCCAGGCATTGTACATATGTGAACTCTAGGCTCAATGTGATGTCATTGACGCAAGGTAAGAGCGCCTGAAGGGCCATTACGGCTCTGGTGGAGTCACGCGCCATGTCGCCTGCGGGCAATATGACCGACGTGAGCTCTGGAAAGGTGTCTAGAGGTGGGAAGTAGCGGACGAGATACTCCGAGGTGGTTCGCAGCTTAGTAAGGCGGGGTAGGATACCCGAAGGTAAAGCGGGTGGATTATGACGGAGGTAAGTGTTGTGGTGGAAGTCAAGGGAGACGATCGACGGGTGATGTTTGAGGAAGGTTGAGAATGCATCTCCAGGTATGATACAGTGAGACACGGTGAAAACAAGAAGGGAAGGGAGATCGAGATGGGTAATAAAGGCGTCCCACTCCTGGTAATTGTAGATGTAACGGAAGGTTAAATTGGTTAGTCGTGAAGAGGCGTTGAGCCGATAGAGGAAGAGTGGTTGGAGAAATGTTGGGAGGGTTTGAAGGTAACAGGTCTCGAGCCGATTCGAGTACGTCTTGACAATCCTGGAGTTTTGTCTCTTTCCCGTAGAAGGAAGCGAAAACCTTTGCAACAGCGAAGCTAGTTTGTTGTTGCGAGGGCCAGGAGAAGTAGTTGATCTAGTGAAGGTTTTGACGTGCAGATCGGTGCAAGACTTCTCGGCTAAGGTATCGAAAACAGCGACCAAGGTGTCTTCCCATTCTCCTGGCCCGCTACTGGGGAAATAGAAGGACGCTCTTTGAAGAGATGAAAGTGCTGAGACGAAGTTAAGCAGAGAACTCGTCTGCTTTATCATCTCCTGTGGCGACTGGGTGTTTGTCAAGTCGCAATTCAGAAATTGGAGGGGAGCGCCAACTATAGATAATGAGATTGCAAGGGTCGAAATGATAGGTAGCGTATGGTTATCAAGCGTCAGGATTCCGCTGCGAGGGTGGATATTGTATTTGGAGCATAGTTCTTCGACAGCGAGGAAATTGAAGTCGCGCGAGGTCCGAGCAAGCTGATGGAGATCATCCCCATCGTGGATGTTCTGAACAATCATCGTCAACAGCTCTACAGGAAGTGTTGCCGTTCGGATTTGGGAGGATGACATAGTGGGTGGGTGGAGGCAACGAGTGTCGGGCAAGGCGTATGTTAGCCGATTGCATCAAATATATACTTCAAGTGTGGGAAGGCGCTCAGAGCAGTAGAGTAGCAAAAGCGCAAGTCACCGCCGCGCTACTCCGCTTCTTATTCACTCAATGACAAGCTCCGCCCATCCTTGGGCCAGCGGTCAGAAATAGATCACCCCCTACTCTATCAGGAGCATCAATGGGGTAGTGGTAACCTGGGTCGTTGCCATACGGTACAACCTAACCGCGTTGTATCGACCCGCCGGGGGTTCGATTCCCCCTTAATGCACTTTTGAATATGTTTAGTATTTTGAACTGCCCGATACTGGTGTGGATAAAGATAATGAAAAGGAATGGCCAAGGTAGAGCTAACGGAAAATCAATCACAGTTGGTGCATGACTTCCACCGCAAGCCACTGTCACTAATGGACCCTTCCAGTCAGTTCTCCTGGTACCGCATGGTGTTCATGAGATACCTTGGGTTCAAACGGATATCCTCGTTCGACACCGCTGGCTCAGCGGAAATATTGCATTTGCTACACCCTATTCTGTCGCCTTTACCATACCACCCTTGCTGCAGATACTACAGCCATTCAGTTATGTTTATCCTACGCGAAGAGTCACAATGCTAGATGATAATAAAAATACACAAAAGTTGTGAAAATTATCCCCTCTTGTATGTGCTCCTTACATCGTCTAGCATGACTCTTAGTAGCATGGAGGGCAGTCAGACCTTGCCTGTAGCAGCTGTAGTGGTTTGTGCACGCACCACGTGTCATTTGGTCCAAGTAATGTCCTTTCCCATGCGGCCTGAGGTTGATCATACACAGTGATGTCGAACAAATGTGACCCTTTGTCCATTGGTCAAGCTGGCTATTCAACCCGACAGCGGAGCAACTCCGACGGGCAAGATGGGGAACTTCCGCCGTCACACTCCTCAAAGCGTAGGAGGATAGATCATATACCGGATGCAAGTAAGCTCAGTCGCAAATATATATGACGGAATGCTAACAGCTCCCAGGTCCAAAGGAGGTGGAACCCTCACACTCACAGTCATTCAGCTTCTCTCGAAACTCGCACCATATACTTTTCAACCAGGCAACGGCGACCACAACCAGCCCCTGCCCCTCACGTGCTGCGCTCATTGATTTGTTGCCAGATACCCTTGTTGATCGCCTTGGGGGGTTTGTGCATCCAGAGTGTTCTTCTAGCCGGCACAACCAAAGTCACTCACCTCAGAATGTGTATCACCGTGAGCCGTGATTGTACAGTAGGCTATAACACTGAGCCACTAACATAAATCCTCGTTCTCTATGTTCATAAGGACGAGGCCTGGAGCCACGTTCATCAAGGTTCTTCAATCAAGCAAGTAATTTTGTAGTCAATAACCCGACTATGGTTGAAAGAGTCGAGGTTAGTGGTGTGTTTTTGACAGGAAAGCCAGGTGCGCGCCTCGCCAGCAGCTGCAAAACCAATCAGCTCAAATGCATGTAGTACTAGAGCGTCTTGAGCCATATACCATGCCCGATGCCGCAATGGACTCCAACGCACGAGACCCACCTCCCAAGTGTCACCCAAGAACTCGCCTGAAGATTGGAGACAAGCTGGAAATCTGGTTGGACGCACTTGGGAGGGAGTGGAATATGATGTGGCTTCATGGTCCCGCTGGCAGTGGGAAATCCTCAGTCGCTCAGACCTTTGCCGAGCGCTGCTCTGAGAGGGGTCGTCTTGGTGCTGCCTTCTTCTTCTCCAGGCTGAACAATCGGAATAATCCTGGAGCCGTCATTCCTACACTCGCATACCAGCTCGCCGTCCACTGTCGCAACTACAACTCCGCCCTAACTAACCAACTCGCTGGCGATCCTCAGTTGCTGAGAAAGGCACCGCATGTGCAGCTCAAGAAACTCATTATTGAGCCTTTTTTGATCCTACAAGCAAATGAGCACGAGCGTATTAGGGAACCCTTTATCATCATCCTCGATGGTCTCGACGAGTGCGATGGGGAAAGTGCGCAATTAGAATTTGTCGGTATGATCAACGAGGCCGCTCAGCTGAAGGACCTCCCCCTCCTCTGGCTCATCTGTAGCCGACCGGAGGCACATCTTCAGTACGCGTTTTCAAGGGTTGTGTACTATGGCCGTGAGGAGCTCCTCCTGGACAAGGAATGTCGAGATGATGTTGATTGATACCTACGTGACGAATTGGCAGCCATCAGGGATGAGTACAGCATTGTTACACCCTCGCCCTGGCCTTCCGAAACCCAATTCAACAAGCTTTCTGGATCCGTATCCGGTCTCTTTGTCTTTGCATCCACTGGCCTGAAGTACATCAGTGACCCCGCAGATGGCAACCCAGTTCGTCGCCTGAAGGAACTCCTGTCGTTCTTGGAGCATGCGGGCCCGTTTGGCACCAACAATCCCCTAGTCACTCTTGACCACCTTTACACTCGGATCCTCAACAACGTGTCGGAGGCAAGTTTCCCGACAACTTGGCGGATCCTGGCACATATCATCTATTTACCTGTTTTTCTTGATGAAATGCCTTCTACCCAAGTCCTTTGTAACTTTCTTCACATTGACCAAAGCACTTTCTACAGTGCCCTGCGGAAACTCTATTCAGTCGTCGCAGTGCCGGCTCCTGGGGAGGCCTCCAAAACACAGTTATATTTTCATCATGGATCGTTTCCGGACTTTCTCTTAGATGCCAACCGCTCGGGGAGATTTGTTGTTGGAAAGCAAAGGGCGCTGGTCGATATTGCGAAATCGTGCATTTTCTGGCATGAAATTGATACAACACACTTTCACACCCACGATGGTGAGTCCATAAAGTTGGTATAGGATGATACCATTCTTATAAATTTCCTAGGGTGGGACTTCGATGAGTACCATCGACATGCAAGTTTGCCCAACCTGAAATGGGTCTCACCGGATAGCAAGGAAGACATCTCTTCGAACGTTGCAGACTTTGCTGTCGAGGGCAGTGAGGTGTTCCAGCTCTTGTCCGACGAAAGAGATGACGGCCTCTTCTCCCGTGTTCGTAATTTAGATTTCAGATATGTGCACCGTTATTACTTTCCGCAACTTGCAAACTGGCTCTACCTGCAGGTAATGTTTGATGATTCTTCACTGACTGCGCTACATTCTGACCCTTCTTGGGTATCTAGGACCCTTCAGACTCTGTCGTACGCATAAAACCATCTAGCGAAATGGACCTAAAATTGTTAGAGTACATGGCAGCTGTGATAGGTCAGAGGTCCGCAGATCCGATGATATTCCCTTTGAGAGAGCGGGTAAGTTACATAGCGTCATTGTGTGTTCAATCGTGATCTCAAGCATATTCTCAAGACATTTAATTTTACCGGCAGGCGCAGGTTATACTTTTTCATCGGACACGGGGAAAAGGCCATTATTGTCTGGTTCACTGAATGCCGAGACAGATGGCGGTGGTCCACCCTGAACCTCGACAAGGAGCCCTCTGCTCAACAAAGCGAAGAGTATCGGGACTGGCTTGTTGAGGTAAAATGGAACGAAACACCGGATTGGGAGGTGGGAGGAGGACTCTCAGAGGAAAGCTTGGATGGCGAAGACTGAGATAGTGAGATATGTATGTCCGGAGATGAGATCGGGGTGGCTTTATTACGATGATCAAGTCTATTAGCGCGTTTTCCGGAAGAAAATAACACTTATATGTAGTTCCGACAGGACTGCAGTCGGGAACCCGGCCCCGCAACACGGCTTTGCCAAAACCTTCATTAGTACGAATAGTGTAAGAGATGCATGATGAGGAGTCAGAAAAAATGGTCAGAAGAACAGGCCTTTAGCATAGGATTATTAATATCTTGTTGGGATGTGCGTCTGTATTCGAGCATCTTTTTCGGTCGATAATCATCGCGCAGGCTCTTTTGGTGTATGACATAATCATTGGGTGTATGTTGAAATCCTAACCCGAAATGGTGATTAAATAATTTCAGTCCCCGTCTCTTTCCTGTCTCTTTCCTTCCTCTCATTGCCAGTCAGACTGATACCATCTTTTGAGTCATCTTTTGCCATGTCTGCTCATACAGCCTCGCATATGTGACCCTTAAACCTTGGAAACCTCGGAAAACTCAACCCCACACCGCATCAGTCCGGTTGACGCTGACACAAACCGAGTCATGCTCCAGCTTGATAAACTCCTCAATCTCGCTCATCTGCGTCAAATTCATACACTCGAACTTCCATCGAAACTGTAAATAATGCCAGCAAAATTCGGACCGGTGCGCTGAACATTGCTCTGCGTTTGAGCCAATAGAAGCTAACTTGATTCTGCATGTCTAGCTTCCTACTAAGGAGCATAACCAAAAGCGCGGCCTCACTCGAGATGCTCTCAAGAAAATCGCTGACGAAAGCCTGAATGCTATTGCGAGTGGCTCATACACCCTCCGAAAGCTACAAGCTCGGACCGATGACGTTGTCGAAACATTCGATCTTCTCGCGAACGTGAAGTACCTGAAGGAGCGCACGCTTTACTATGGGCCTGACTCTGTAGTGACCTCCTGGGTGCAGCCTGTGACAGAGGAGGCAGGACTCGCGTCAACAACCAAGATTTGGGCAGTGGAGAAGTCTACGTTGGACACAGCGCATTGGTTAATTGAGAAACTCGCTGCAGAGCCTCAGCCCTCAGTGGATGACCTTGCCGAAAGACGAGGGGCACGCGCCCGCGCCGTTGGAGTACTCAATTTTGCGTCTGCAAAGCACCCTGGAGGAGGTTTCTTAACCGGATCCCAAGCACAGGTGAGATCTTTGCGTCGTCTCTCTTTCTCTCTTTGCTGAAACACCATTGTGTCGTGCTTTTTTTCGTAGGAAGAATCGATTGCCCGTTCGTCAACGCTCTATCCCAGTCTCATGTGCCCCGCGGGTCAACAATTTTACACGTACAATCACTCCATCATGGCGGGCAAGAATGACGGATACTACTCACATGGGATGATCTATAGTCCCTCCGTTATTGTCTTCCGAAACGACACAGGAAGGTGGTTGCGCCCATACGAGATTGACGTCCTCACGTCCCCTGCTGTTAACGCTGGTGTGGTATGGCAGAAACGCCAACAGGCGCTTAAACAACAACAGCCAGTTGATTCCGAGATAGCTACAGAAGATAAAATACGTGCGGTTATGAAAGAACGGATGGCGCGGCTTTTATACCTCTTCGAACTGCAGGGTACAAGGAACCTGGTGTTGGGCAGCTTTGGGACAGGAGTGTTCAAAAATAGTGTGGATATAGTAGCGGATTTGTGGGCCGAGCTATTGG